ACAGATACGTATCATTTCTCGATTTTCATTTTGATTTCTGGGCACACCTTGTTAAAGAAAGTAAAAGAACAGCAGGCAAGGGGAGAGGCAGACTCGAACCCACCTCGTTGTTGCCCCCCGACAGCAGGGGGACGAGGGTCTGGATGACACCCCCGACCCTGTTCTGGCTGGGGTGACCCGACGCCATGGTGAGGGAGGTGTTCAGCTCGTGGAGCACCGCGATCTGCTGGTCCACTCCCGGCCGAGCCTATCGTTTTTTTTTTTGTCAGTCGCGGACGCACGCACACGCGATATGATTTGGTCCGTCGGTTAGTCATCGCGGTCGATATGCCAATCAAACGAAGGATTTGTGTCGTGCGTCGTCGGCGCGCGCACACACACGTAACGTCAGGTCAGCCGGTTAGTTAGACCGCTCAAGATGCCCGATCATTACAACACACACATGGACGCACACGTACACACACACACACGTCATTTAGAATTGTTCTGTGTTTTCAACCGCACTGAGACTGACGTCTTTTCATTGGTCAGCCGGTTAGCACTGTCGATGCCAATAATAAAGATACACACACAACATCACTCTCATCGTCATATTTACGGCTTTTTCGCGGCATTCTTCCCTAGCCCCGCGTCGTTCGTTGTGAGGAGCCAGGGGGCGTTATCGACACCTCCGTGTCTAGGTGAGTTGCCCACCACTTTCTGGACATGATGCGGCTTTCAACATCGTGACACTTTCCGAACTTTTTGGTCGACACACCTCTCGGTTCAATGTCTGGGGTACCATCCGGGGGTCACACAGGACAGCACCATTCAAAGAACCATTTCTTCGCAAGCACAAGATACCGAACGACGCAGCGCACCCCGATCGAACAAATCCTTAATTTTCCTTTTGTGTTTCGTTTTCATTTGAAGGTCCGAGACACCCCCAAACAAAACGATCAGCCGAAACGTGGGACACTGAACAGGGAAACAGGGAAAACACCACGTCAAACAACGCGCTTGTGTTCTTGGTACTCGTGGTCACTTCCAAGGTCGAGACACACACAAACAAAAAAATGAGCAACCCAAACGCGCAGCAGTCAAGACAACCACCGCCCCGAACAACGTGCTAATCATATGTATTATACGTCAACATTTCAAGGTAGGGCAATCGCAGCGTGCAACGCATGCGCTTTTCTGTTTGTTGTTCGCGTTCCATCTCAAGGTCGAGACACGCACAAAAAAAAAAAAAAAGAGCAACCGAAAACGATAACGACGACGGCAGCAACTGCAACAATGACGGGCGGGCCTTGTCACCTGCAAGACGTGCAATAGCTGCTGGATGCTCGACATGGTGGCCGACGCTCGAAATCACACGCGCTCTTGCGCTTGTTGCTGCTGGCGCCGGTGCCGGTGCCGGTGCTGGTGCTGGTGCTACTGCTACCGTAGCCGGTGCTGCTGCTGCTGCTGCTGGTGGAATCGCTACTGTGCTTGTCCGTCCGGCTGCGCAGTATTGTCACCGCCAGCTGCACGTCGGGCTTTTTCTGATGAATCAGACGGGAGAAAGAGAAAAGAGAGAGCACGCGTGCGGGGGAGAGAGGCAAACGAGGCACTTGAGTGGTGAACAAGGGGTTGGGTGAAGGTTGAGAGAGAGAGGGGGAATAGAGACAGAGATAGAGAGATAGAAATATAAGATCGATATGGCAGAGAGAGTTATAGATGGATAAATAGTTTGGTTGATCGACGGAGATAGAGATAGAGAATAAGGGAGAGGGTCAGGGTCAGCGGGAGACCGCACAAGCAGCACGACCGTCTCATGCTCGGCGTTGTTGCTTGTCATGACCTCCATAAAAAACATCCCGCCTGTAAGCAATCCACTGCATGACAAGCTCAGCAGCCACCAAGTCCTACTTGCTCCCACAAACCCTCGTCATCCCCGAAGACACGCGAAAGCACACACAACACAGTAGCGAGGAGGCATGCCGCAGTGCTGCTGTCGCCGGTATCATCTCCGGGTGTCCTATCTCTCGCACACTCCCTCCCTCTGTCTCTCTCTCTACCCCTGCCTGTCTGTGCGTGTGTGTGTCTGCCTCTCTTTCCTTCTTTGATCCTTTCTCGCTTTTTCCTTCTTTCTTTCTTTCTTTCTTTCTTTCTTTTTTTCTCGCTTTTTCCTTCCTTCCTTCTTTCTTCCTTCCTTTTTTCTTTCGAATCAATCTCCAGCACAACTTGCGCGCATGTGTGCTTGTCTTGACAAGAAGCCCGGACAAACCACCAAAACGTCCACACACAGACCAGTGCACCTTCCTTGCCCCTCCCATGTGTGTTAACCTTGAAATGCCCACCAAAAGCCACAACCGAACAACACTACGCCCAGCCTCAACCGAACTACGGTAGGTTGCATGACGGAAGATATCACACCCCCTGGACCGAATGTCAACGCCTGATTACTCCACGACTAAGAGGATGCCGAATTTGAAGCATACGTTGTCGGAAAGCTCTCGATGAGACGGTTCCAGCTCGTCCCGCCATTTCGGCATCGTCTCTGCTTTCCCCGCCGAGATATCGGGCTTCGAAAATCGGTCCAGGCGGTGTGATGTCTTACGCGACCTACGGTACCAAAGACGCTCACACCCGTCCCCGAAGTGCCTCCGACGAGGTGGAGGCCGCCGAGGAGAAGGGGGGGGGGGGGCTACAGG